ACGCCGTTGCGGCGCGAAGCACATTTGCAAGTCAAAATGTACAAAACACACCAGGTGCGGACCACTTTTGGCAGTTGAGATGTCGAAAAAGTGCACGCCGTTGTGGCGCGAAGAAGATTTCGAAGTCAAAATGTACAAAACACACCAGCTTCGGACCACTTTTACTAGTTGAGATGTCGAAAACGCGCACGCCGTTGTGGCGCGAAGCAGATTTCGAAGTCAAAATGTACAAAACACACCAGGTGCGGACCACTTTTGGCAGTTGAGATGTCGAAAAAGTGCACGCCGTTGTGGCGCGAAGCACAATTTCCAAGTCAAAATGTACAAAACACACCATGTACGGACCACTTTTGGAAGTTGAGATGTCGAAAAAGTGCACGCCGTTGTGGCGCGAAGCACATTTAGAAGTCAAAATGTACAAAAACACACCATGTACGGACCATTTTTGGAGGTTCAGATGTCGTTTCGCGTGGCAGGCGCAAGGGGGTGTGCACCTTGTCAAAAGTGACCAAAACGTGAGGGTTTTGTAGCATTTCCAAAAACCATGGCAGGCGTGGGGCTTTGAAGAGGATCTGCAAAGATGCATTTTCTGTGGCAGGCGGAGTACAAAAGACATGTTCATGAGAGATGTTAGGAGGTCAGCGCGCTGATTTCCTGAGAGGGGTTGCATTTTGGAGTATGATATCAGATGTGCAGGTTTGCTAAGATGATTTTGCGTGACAGGTGCAGCACTTCGTATGACCTGGCATCAATTTTCCGTGGCAGGCGCAGTACTTAAGACAGGTGGACTGGAAAAATCGCAAAACGCATTGGTACGAGTCTGTCAGCTCTGCACTCAACTTTCCATTTTTTGAAGGAAGTCTCGCAGAATTCTTCGTTTTTGATGTCTTGCACTTCGAAAAATGAGGAAATCTCGCAGAATTGCTTCGTTTCGGATGTTGTCAAGTTCAAAAAATGAAGACGCCTCGCAGAATTGTTCCGTTTTGGACGTTCTTATGTTCAAACAATACGGAAGTCTCGCAGATTTCTTCGCTTTGATCTTGCAGATAGATAGATAGATAGATAGATAGATTAGATAGATAGATAGATAGATAGATAGATAGATAGATAGATCGATAGATCGATAAGATCGATTAGATCGATTAGATCGATTAGATCGATTAGATCGATTAGATCGATTAGATCGATTAGATCGATTAGATCGATTAGATCGATTAGATCGATTAGAGATCGATTAGATCGATTAGATCGATTAGATCGATTAGATCGATTAGATCGACTAGATCGATTAGATCGATTAGATCGATTAGATCGATTAGATCGATTAGATCGATCGATTAGATCGATTAGATTAGATCGATTATTAGATCGATATTAGATTAGATCGATTAGATCGATTAGATCGATAGATCGATAGATAGATCGATATTAGATCGAGATGATAGATAGATAGATCGATAGATAGATTAGATAGATAGATCGATAGATAGATTAGATAGATAGATTAGATCGATTAGATCGATTAGATAGATTAGATAGATTAGATAGATCGATAGATAGATAGATAGATAGATTAGATAGATTAGATAGATTTAGATAGATTAGATAGATTAGATAGATTAGATAGATTAGATAGATTAGATAGATTAGATAGATTAGATAGATTAGATAGATTAGATAGATTAGATAGATTAGATAGATTAGAATTAGATTAGATAGAATTAGATAGGATTTAGATTAGATTAGATAGATTAGATAGATTAGATAGATTAGATAGATTAGATAGATTAGATAGATTAGATAGATAGATAGATAGATAGATAGATAGACAAATAGCTAGAAAACTAGACAGCTAGATAGATAGGTAGATAGATAGATAGATAGGGAGATAGATAGATAGATAGATAGATAGACAAATAGCTAGAAAACTAGACAGCTAGATAGATAGGTAGATAGATAGATAGATAGGGAGATAGATAGACAGACAGATAGATAGGTAGACAGATAGATCAGTAGGTAGGTCGGTAGATAATCAGAGAAAGATAGAGAAAAAGAGAGAAAGAGAGAGAAAGAGTGAAAGAGATCAAGCACCTTTCAGTCCATCAGTGGCTTCGCTCTGCCATCCCTGATTCACAACAACCAACTTCTCCTATAGGTTTCCTATTTTTGAAACTTCCGCCACCGCCTTGTGCGGTACTACTGGTATACAAACACTACATACATTACATACATTACATACATTACATACATTACATACATTACATGCATACCATACATACGATACATACAATGCCATACCATACCATACCACACCATACATACAATCCATCCACCCATCCACCCATCCACCCATCCACCCATCCACCCATCCATCCATACATAAATACATCCATGCATCCATCATGTGTATATATATATACACATATATTTATACAATTATACAATTATATACACGTGTGTGTGTGTGTGTTTGTGTACTGCTGCCAGTGGCCAGTCCTTTGACACATCCCCAAGTTGGAATGAACCATGACCCTTCGCTAACATGGCGATCGAACATGGCAACGCAAAATCTCCAGGTCTTTTTGGGAAAATCTCAATACATGGAGCTGTTAATGGGAAATCATCTACAAATGGTTGTTTCATGGACAATACAACACTGGAAGGATCAAGCGAAGTGAAAGCTACCTCCGGAGCACAAAGCGATTCCCACGAGAGCGCTCGGCACCAGCTCGCACAGCTTTTGGTGGATCGCCATCCTGTTCAAAGATCTTCCTATAGCTGCGAGTTTCTCAGTCGATTTACAAGTCGTGCATTCTCCACATAGTTTTTTTTTTTTAGTTTTTTTTTGTGGGAAGAGGATCTCCCACATCTCTGGGAAACTCCCGGACGCAATCGCTGCTCAGATCAGATGGCCGAAGGCGGGTTTCAAGATAGCAATTGTTCTGGGGATTTAAAACGGAGAATCCCCCTTTTAGTTCGAAGATTTTCGCACAAGAACAGACCCATGTACAGGGGATTTTCTAGGTATATATGTTTGATTTGTGGAGGATATTCTGTTTGTTGGGAGTGTTTTGAAGTATAGCACGGATCTATTGCGGAATGGATCTATCGTTGATCAAAAGGTATGATCTATGATATATCTATGCATCATCAAACATGGTCCCCCGTGGAATTCCCCGATAGGAAGGCGGTACCTTTCCAACATTACACCATCGTTTCATGATGCAAAGTTGACATTTGGGATCATTTGGGCATGTTCAAAGAATTCAGCCACACTTTTCGGTGCAAAGTCTCTGGATTTAGAATTCAACGATCCATTTCCGGCGAGGCACATCGGGGGTGCGCCCTGAAGTGATTTCTGGCATGTTTTCCCGAAGTCTTGGCAATAGAAAGGACATCAGAGCATGGTTGTTCCATGACATGTGTGGGAACATTCAATTACCTTGCTGCTTGGTTTTTGCAGTGCTTCAGAATGGCATCCCAGGTCTTTGGATGGAGACCACTCTGATGTGACAGGTCAATTGTATCCCAGCTGACCATCTCAATCAAAAAGGATCGGCCATAATAAGAGTCAAGCTTGCAGCCCCTTCAAAGTAGGCCAAATGGACCAGCTTTGTTTACCTCTGGAGAAAAGTCCGAGCACGCCACTTGTGGCCGAGGCCGCGGCCATGGAAGGGGCGCTCTCGGGACGTCGATCGCAGAGAGGGTCGGAGCAAAACGCATTAAAAAGCAAATGAACATCCCATGCTTTCACCATCGCCCAAAACATAGGGGCAGTCGGTCCAAATGCCTGGGAGCGCAATGCGGCGTAAAGCGCGGAGTTCAGTGTCAAAGTTGGTCGAATGCGGCCTGGACCTAAACCAGCCAGGCCGCCAACGTTGCCAATCGAGTGGCAAAGGCAATGGCACATCTGGAGTTTTTCAGAACTATAGTGGTTTAAAATATGATATCGAGTTTCAACACACCGTCCACAACTGCTGATTACTGCTGATTGTTTCAGGAAATTCATGACCTTCACACTGAAATGCCGTGCATCTGGGGCTAGTTTGCCCAGTCAGTATACAAAGCCAATCTCGAGTCCAACACTTGTGATGGACCGCGCCTCCCCTGACTGACTTGAGACACCCAAAGCCAACCCCATGGGGGAGCAAATCGACGAATGGACATTGGTGGTTGAGCCTGAGAACTCGGTTCATCATCTCTAATTTGAGGAATCGGAATGGAATATATATATATATATTATATATACCTGGAAAACCATAAAGACAAAATTTTCTGTCCGTACGGGTTTGGACATTTTTTTTGTCCGTTGCGTGTTATTTCCAAATACGGCCATGTCCGGCTGCAAACCCTCTACTTACAGGTTAATTTAGTTAATAGTTTTCCTGAACTCTTGGATTTGTCGGACTGGTTCCGACAGTATGAGTGTCTCGTCTAGAGACAGTATTTGGGGCAGTATGTTGACATTTGCTTACTTTTTTTTTCAACATGATGTTGAAAAAATACTGGTATTTTATGGGTACATCCAAATTTGGTGGGAAATATGGCAGTATTTGTGGCCAGATTTGGGTGCCCGATCACGACTCCCAATTTGCTCCACTTTGGATTGAAAATCCTCTTTTGGAAACTGTCGGAGGATGTCCGAACACGGTGTTGTCAAAGGATTTGAACAACCCTTCACAATCAAAAACCAAAATACGCAATTGAACAAAAAAAACGTCCGTTGTGGGTAAAACCCATAATGGAAAACAAAAAAATGTCCATACGGTTTTCCAGGTATATAATATACACAGCACATCTGTCACAAACGGCCAGAGTTGTTTCTCAGCAAAAATGAAAGTCTTCCATAATTCGCACTTGCTTCAAATAATGAATCCTCGCAATCAGTTGACAAACGTTTTTCCAAGCACTGTTTTTCTGTCTATATATATATATTCTATAAATTATATTCATCATCTTGTTTTCAAGTTTTCACCTTGTCTTGAAAATTTGATCAAATCCAAAAAAATGCTTCGGATGTCTGCGGAAAGAGGTGTCAGTCAGCGGTACCGAGGCAGGTCACCTGTCACCTGTCACAACCATCTCACTGCCCAGACCTGGTTTTGTACCCCAACAGCCACGGATGTGGCTATTTTTCAGCTGAAACATCTGAATCCCATCCCCTGTTTAAAATGAATAGGGCCAGCACCCAGGGGGTTCTAGGGCTATTGAATTCAAGGGATGGGATTACACAAGCGCCATGAAGAAGTCACTAAATACATAGCAACCGTGGGCTGGTACTGGTACTAGAAGGATCTAAAAGGTCCATCGGTTGGTTCAACACCCAACCTATGCCTGGGTATGCTGTGGTAATCCAACCTCACCTGCTGGAAAATCCCTCATATTTATAGATGACGTTCCTCCAGAACTGGGAGGATCACTTGACAGATGTTGCAGGAGTGCAAGTCATGGGAAAATCATGGTACATTCCTCATGTTTCTTAGACCTATATTTTTTTTGTTGCTTCTTACACTCAATCCATCACTGATGTTTAAAAATCGTCGGTGAATCGTTGCAAAATCCATCACTGATGTTTCAATCCAAATGTTTGATGCTTCATCCCCCGTATTTCCATTTTTTTCGACCCACAAAATCGTTGGTGAAAAATCCCCAATTGATCCCTGAATTTATGCCCCATGTCCATCCATTTCCTTGATGAAATCAGTGAGATCTCCTGTTTCTTGTTTTCCCAACTGCCCAATTTTTCAACTGATGAAACTCGCCTGGCCAATTTTCGGCTCCGCAAGGGCGGAGTCTTACCTCAGAAGTCAGTAGAACAGTAGAAGCCATTGGTTTATGGTTGCATCAAATGGAATACCTTGGTAGCGGTTATTCATGGTGATTAATGGTGTTTTATGGTGTTTTATGGTTATTAATGGCTATTAACTATTAATGGTTAATGGTGTTTGATGTTTGTGGCTATTAATGGTTATTATATAATGTTTAGTAATGGATATTATGTGACATTATTTATGGCTATGGGCTATGGGTTATCATATTCTAACACCATTGTGAATGGTTATTGTATAACTATGGGAGTATGGTTACCATATAGCAAGAGGCTATGGTTTAAAAATGCTAAGGTGTTCCGTTGAGTGGTATTGACTATGGGTAGCAGTCATGATCAATAGGAATCAATCGGTGCAGCTTCCTATTGAACCCAGTTCTGACCATTGAAAAAGCAAATGTCAGTAGGCCTGTTCGATGGCTAGGGCGCTTCGGGTTGATACACTGGATGTTCATCTCACCTGAATATCGTGGGCTTAAAGGTATTGACTCACCCCCAGATATCATAGCTACTCACAAAACGATAGAAAGGCAAAAACATCTTACGTTTACGGAGTCATAAATCACTGTTCTATTGTTTGGTAACAAAAATATTTTTTGGTGTCCTGAAACAGGGGTACTCCCAGCCATCATCCATTTTAGTAGGATTTTCCATTGTAAAACATCCAGCTATGGGGGTACCCAGCTGAGATCCCCACGACTTTGCCTGCTCCAGGACCCGTAGGGCTTCATCCACCTGACGTGTCGTGTCAACGTGTCGTGTCAACGTGTCGTGTCAACGTGTCGTGTCAACGTGTCGTGTCAACGACGTGTCGTTACGACTGTGATATGTGGAGGAAAAATCTTGAAAAATCGGATATAAATAGGATTTTTGAATGGGATTATGATGGGGAAACCCATATTTTCTGGATTGGATTGAATGGATTGGTTAGTTGGGGGAAAATTCTGAAGCTGAAGGAAACCAAGGTGTTTTTTTTACATTTTTCTTACGTCGACAAAAACTAAATGGTCAAGTTCCTAACAGCCTAACAGGTTTGAGTCCGAGATCTTCTTTCCGATTTACCCTCTGGTAATTTAACATAGCTATTGAAAATGGCCATTTATAGTGGATTTTCCCATTAAAAATGATGATTTTCCATAGCTATGTTAAATTACCAGAGGGTATTTCTTTGGGTTTTTCAATCGTTCCACCTTTCGATCCTGGCCTTGGCCTTGAGCTGATGCTCACTGTCGAGGAGAATCAACAGCTCCGAGTTGTCCATCTCCAACATCATTCCTATCCGAGGGATGTTGGACCGTTGGACCCATGTGTTTTTTCCGCACAATTTTTTAAAAAGGGTAGGGTGATCATACCTGGAATCAAATAGTCATCTGATGTCCTGCAAATACTATTATATATATACATACATACATATATATATATACATATGTATGTGTATATAGTTCTATTTATAGCACGTGCTATTTTGCTGTTGGGGTCGGTAGTGAACGGGGTCTACTGTAATCTGTCTAAGCCCGTTTGGTTGATCTAGAACCCATGGGCGTCTTCTTCATCAGAAATTGCGAAGCCCACCCTTATCTGACCTGGCAACCTACGCGGAACATCATGGGACAATGCTCACCAATGCCAGAAAGTCAAACGTTCCCCAGTTGAGGCATGCAATCCAACCTCAGGCCCTTTTGGAAAAAGTTGAAGCGTGATTCCATGATGATCATGATGCAGTGATCCTGCAGCCGCACTGTTCCTGAGCAACACCATCTTTCCTTTCCCATCATGTGCAAGTTAACATAGTCAATGCTCTTGCTGTTGCAAATTCACATCTAGAACACCTGCTGCCGCCCTCCCTTTTTACTGAGTTGATCAAAGGGATTTGAGTTTATCTGAATATAGGGTACAATACCACCAATTCCAGTAGATTGTCGTCATGTTTACCATGTAATTAGGTGGCCATAAATTGGTGTATACTCCCTTTCCATACATACCAAAAAATAGTCTTGGTTATATATTCCATTATATTCCCATTAGATCCCATTGATTCACCATTGTTGTAAACCCTTTATCCATCTTTATCCCATTTTTTGCAAAGGAAGCCGCAATCAAAACCAGCCCCCCCATCGACCTGTGATCTTTCCAGCCAGTTCTGGTTGATGCTTGGAGATGGCGGGGAAGAGGCGTTCACCAATCATCTGCTTCTGCACCTCAAGTCAATCAGCAGTTGGTGATGTGCTAGAGTGGTAGACCCAAAACTTACCAAACGTTGGGTGTTTTAATATTCAGCTTGTTGCCCCTCCACATGGACAAATAAGGTTGGCATGGTTCATTCTTGGACTTAGCAAGGTGCCTTCATCAGCTCAAGCTCGGCGTCTACAGGAAACCATGGGTGTTTACCATCCCAAAATATCAGGGTGTTCCTGCACATGTTCCCTTAAAACTAATCCAATCACAATAGAATGCAATAAAGATATATATTTATACGTATATATGTATATATACGTGTGTGTGTATATATATATATATATATATCTGTATGTATGTATACGTATATATATATACATATATATATATATATACGGATATATATATATATATATACGGATATATATATATACATATTATATACATATACATGTATACGGTCTATCTTTTGTTACTTGGTTGTTACGTGCTTTCCACGATGCCAAACAAACACCACCGTTGCAACCGCTGCTTTCATCCGCCAGGATCAAGGCACGGGTGGAGGGGCAGCAGCCAAGGCAGCGGCGGTCAATTGGCTGCCTGAGGGCACCAAGTCACCGTGGTGGGCCTCTAGGGTGAAATCTATGGCTTGAAATCTATGGCTTGAAATCTATGGCTTGAAATATACTTGAATCTTTGGGCTAACCATGAGCTAACCCCATGGAAAATCTTGGAAATGGAGTTGGCTTACTCTTGATAGACTCAAACAGAGAGAGAGAGAGAGATATATATATATATACTAGATATAGAGTCAGAGTATACCTTTGGCATCGTGAATGTATTCTCCTTGCAGAGTTTCGTTTCTTAGATGGTCCTTCAATTCGATTTCGCAGATGAACGAACACATTCGTAGATTCATGATGTGGGCGTTTGAAGCAGTCCTCCACCGCTGCCGCCGCCAGCTTGGGCTGCTGGTTGGTTTTGCGATGCAGGGGTCTGGGCAGGCATTCCTGCCGAAATGTTTCGAAGCGTGAAATCAACTCCCTTGCTTTGGCTTTTTGGAAGACTTGGACATTATCCTCGGCACAGGACATATGGGATCCTTCCGAAAATCGACTTGTGTAGCAGTAGCAGCAGCATCCTAAATTTTCAAGCTGTCAAGGGACTTCGCTGGACATTCCTGAACACAAAACCCGACCCTCCTCTCACACTTGCGGCCGAGCAGTCCTGGGCGCATCATTGGCATCTGTGCCATTGGTGGGCGCATCATTCCCATAGGACCCATGGGGCCCATGCCCATGGGCATTGGCATTGGCATGCCACCCTTGCCCATGCCGCCAGGCATGTTCATGTTGGGCATGCCCTTGCCCATGCCTCCCATGCCCATCATCTGAGGGTTCATGGGCATGTTGGGCATGCCTCCCTTGCCCTGCTTGCCCCCCATCATCATGCCGGCATTCTGGCCTTGGCCGCCCATCATGCCGCCTTTGCCCATGCCGCCCATGCCCATCATGGGGTTGTTGCCCATGCCACCCATGCCGCCCATACCTCCCATGCCGCCCATAGGATTGCCGTACATCTGGTTGCCCATTCCGCCACTTTTTCCGCCCTTGCCTTTGCCTCCCATGCCCATGCCCTTGCCACCGACACCGCTTGGGGAGTAGCGCTGACCTTGGATGTGCCAGTCTCAAACATGCCATGGGCCCTCTCTGGCAAAATCAATGTGGCAATTTCAACAAATGAGCAAGCCATAGGAGGTGACAACATCTAAATCTGATTTACAAGGAGTCACATTTTTTGCGGCTAATAAAGACTTCGCGAAAATCTGGAAATTCCAACAAATGCATGGCCAATCGCTCTTCTCATGGCCAAAATGATACCCTGCAAGCCTGCAAGAATCAAAGAATCAGAGTCAATTTGTTGCTGGACTTGTAGTCCTTTATAGATTCTACTATATACAGTATTCAGAGTATTCATTTATATCCATTTATAGCTTCTTTCGAATCACTGAACCCACGAAATGTTGGCCAAGTACATACTACGTTGACCATGGAGCCAAGGCGCGGAGGCGTTCGGCACGGACCTCACGTTTCTCGGCCAAACCAACGTAGAGGGGCTTGCCCTTCACCACCTCTGGCAGAATGCAGCGTCCAAATATGGAGACGAGAAGACGAAATTCAAGCGAATCAGTATCAGTGGATCAGAAATCGATATGATGTGTGTGTGTGTGTCCATATATGCATAATATATATATATGTGTATATATATATGTGTATATATATATGCGTATATATATATATTAATATATATATAGAGAGAGAGATTATAATTAACATAATTTCCACAAGGTATAGCTAAAAAATGCTTTTCTGCTACTGGATTAATATAATTTATTATTATTAGTTGATCATCTTCATAAAGAGCATCAACTGACAATTGTTATATATTATTATTTTATTAAATACATGTTTTTCATCATAGATGTAGGTGTTAGACATATGTAGACTGTTTTAAAAATAGCAAAATAATTAATTAAGTTGTCTTGAGCTATTAACTTGGCAAGCAAGATATCTTTTTTAACTGATATATCTTCAGGCCTAATACTTCCTAAAATAGATCCTTTATCTAGATAATACTCTGGAATATCTACTAAACCTTTTAAAGACTTAAGTATCATCTTTCTTCTTTTGGAAAATAAACAATGTGATTATGTATATATATATATACATACATACATACATACATATACACGCCCTGCGACAAGTCGCCACTGGTTTTTCTGCGCGCCTTGAGGTGCATCTCGGTCACCGCCTTGGTGGCCTCATCTGGTGAGCTGAAGCAGACGAAGCCAAAGCCCTGAGCGCTGAACAACCGAAAGGCGCCATCAAGCCATCCAAAGATCATTTAAATATATATATATTGTATTATAATGAATTATAATGATATTAAACATCCACTAAAGACCATTTATATACATATATATATATATATATCCCATGTGATATCCCATTATATCCCATGAAAATCTCCATTTAACAATCCGTCATAAAATGTCCATTGAGTCCATGGAAGGTGTCCTTGACGATTGACAGAGCCACTTCGACTTCGACTTTTGGTCACAAAATGTGTGAATTTCAATGGAGATCTGTGGAACTCAATTCCACCAAATTTCCCTTACTTTGTTGGTATCGAAGCACCAGAATCCACGGTATAAACATGTATGAACACTTTTTCCAGACCTGTACCTTCAGGAAATTAAGATTAGTGCGTCTCATCCGGCCTTGCACTTGCCAGAAGGTTCCTGTCGGCCGCATTGGCAAATGCTGCTGGGTGACTGTGATTACTTCAGCCATCCTACTCCAATTTGAGGAAGCTATCAGCAGCACGCGCCCTGCTCTGTTTCTTCAAGATGTTGTTGTGTGGAGAGGAAGAAACCGCCCGACAAAAACCTCTGCACCCTCTAGCAGCCATTCAAACCTTGCAACCGAAAAGTACCCATTGATAGATCATTTTCCTATGAAAATTGCTTTCATGGTCCAGTGAAATGACCAGCGCCAATCTTTAACATACCAAGCATGTGTTCGAGTGCAAATTAAAGTCAAATAGCTTAGCATCAAGTGACTGTGCAAGTGCAATCCGACGCCACTAGCCCTACCCCAACCCCACCGCATGATGATAAAAACAGCACGCCTAGATGGCCCATTCTCCATTCTGTGTTACAAACCCACCATTCTTTCCATCTTTCTGCCGGTTTTTCTTAGTGCACCCCCCGTTTTGGCCATATGGGGATGGGTCAAAACCTATTATTATCAATTTTAGTGGGATGAACATCAATTTACTAGCTATTTTAGGGTTCATTAGCTGCCGGGGTTTTGACCCATAGCCATATATTTGAAGCCCTGGAGCCAAATTCACCATGCCTTCATGCAGCAGACCGAAGTGATGGTGCCGAAGGACTCGAAGAGGCCGCGCAGGGAGTCGTCATCAGTCTGCTCATCCTCGGCCGTCGAAAACATGGGGATTTAACCTCTGGTAATCAAACATGGCAATCAACCATTTGAAAACCATAAATAACCATATAATAACCATAGATTATCCATTACCATATAATAACCGGGGATTAACCATCAAAAATCGTCCATTGATACTTCTTGTCTCCATTGAAAAAGCGGATGTTCAAGTGCCATGGATAACTGAAAAAGAACATAGATCTATATAAACGGATCCAAAATAGCCAGTTTGTTCTAATGGGCATAGTGGGCATACTCGAGGGAATATTCAATGATAAAAAATGGGGACAAAACCAACAACATGTGGGAATTAGCGTCAGGATTGCTCCCAACACCTCCAGATACCCGTGCCATGACATATCAGGTTTAGCCCTCCATCTGGGTTACAATATTGGTCTGTCACAAAATGGCAAATAAATACCCCACTTTATCCCCTTTTCAATAGGGAAAATGATTCATGGGAGGGAAGGGTCTAGCTCACGTTTGAAGCAAATGAGATTCACTCAGCATCAATGAGACAAGCGGTACAGACCCCCACTGTGCGGGAGATTACCGAACAAAGCATCTGGCAAAGTAGGTCCCTTAATGGGTGTTTCAAAACATCAGGTACGCAAAATCATCGAAAATTTATCTTTTTGACTGAGTAAACCCAGTTTCTTGGGGTGCTCCAAGTTTGAGAAAGCAGCAAGTTTCTTGGGACATCTTCAACATCCTCAGTTTTCAGGGATACTGTAGATTAGATGATACATCCCAGGCCATAGCGCCCGGGCCCACTCTTCCTGGCTAGTCTTATCTGTCCTGAGCCCAGCCACTTTTCCAGCCATTGGGCACTTCATATCCCGAACTCTTTGACAATTTGATGTTTTTAAGATCCGCACTTCGTATCGTTCTTGGTGAATCTCCCTATTCATGGAATTCTCCCCAAGTGTTGATGGTTTACCTCAGTTTGCCTCCCTATCTTTGCTGTTTTTTTCAGCACCATCGTATGGTGTCGCGGGCGAGTCGCCAAGTTCTTAATGTACAAGTTCACTCCCTGGGAGCGCGCAGGGCCGCTCTCCTTCGGAGGCATCCTCTCCTGGCCCCGGCTCTGGCTGAGATCCAAAAATGGGGGGACCCGGAACTATTCATGATCAGTTTCATAGGGAAAATGATGATCAAGATTCATCACCTTGAAAAGGGATGATGATACAATGATAAAGCATCAAAGTTTGGATAACCCCTGTGATTGGGGACTCACTAACCATGAGAAGCCACTTACTAAGCACGTCTAAGATTTCAAAGAAAAGAAAAACATTGTTCGTAAGGGCCGTCTCCTCATTTCGGTTATATAGTTAACACCCAGGGATCCTCTTCAATGGGGTCTCTGGTCTCATTTTCATATCGTCAATCCTTGTAACTAATCCCTACTTATCTACGGTGAGAGTTCTCCCCGTTGGCCATATACACTTGACTTCATCAAATAAGAATACAAATCATCATTTCTGTCCTCACTATATCAATGGGAGCATGATATCTAAATAATTAAAATAATTATTGTTGATTATTTCCCACTTGTAGGTATATTATCCTATTGGTATCTTTATATCTGTATGTCTGAAAAAAACGGTATTCACCGGAAAGAACATTCCAAAGTAATTATAAATCAATCATATGGGCAGTTTATATGGATGTCCCCCTTTTTCCAATAGGATATATATATATATATATTTTCCAATGATTGCCAATGGTTTCAATGGGATATCCCAAATTTCCAATGCCAATTTTCCAATGGACGATCGTCATTTTCCCCGTGGTTTCATGGCCATGTCATTTCTCCTTCAGCTCCAGCTGTCGCTCTGACTTGGACTGGGCACGTGTGACGTAGAGCAGGTAGCCTTGGGCATGAGATTTATGACAACTTTGCCTTGGAAAAGGATAAAACCCATGGGGAAAGTATGGGGGGTCAGAGTCAAAGTCCCAGATTTCGCAGCTGTTCATCCCAAATGGATCCTGAAAAAAAG